GCAGGCAGGTGACTGAAGCTCCCAACTGCTCCTTTTTTTTTTTATTCTGGGCCAGCTTTAGCTTTGAGGCTTGGCTCCAGCTCTGAGGCCTCGGTTGCTGTAAGCAGGTATCTGGTTTGTTTGGGTTCTATAATCGAAACACTGTTTCAACTCCAGCTCTGAGATCCCGGCTGGCTGAAAGCAGGTTTCTGGGGTTTTGTTTAGCTTCTATATTTGTAACAATGTTTCAAACTGCAAGCTCAGAGTCCGGCAGCGGCAGGTGGGGAATGTTGGAGTCCTCCGTCACTGAAGCAAGCAAGCCTCATGTTCGCTTCAAGCTGCCTGGCTACTGGCCGCCATCTTGGCTGGCAGTTAATTTGCATATCTCGCTGATTAGCCAATGGGAAGGGTAGCGGAGGTAGAGCTAATTACCATGTTTCTCTTTTATTAGATAGGATACCAAGAGGTTGTCTCTGGGCAGGGGTAATGGCTTAGATGACCGTCATTCAGTCAAAATTCTCAAATCTTAAATTTCACATTGCAGACTGACTCATCTACCAGTGAATCTAATCAATACAGTTTTTCATTTAATATTAGAAATATTTATTTGCAGCTAGCTTTTTAAGCAGTTAGCTTATATTTAGGGGTACAAAATGTCTGAATACTAAAACCACTCATAGCCTGGTGAAAGCCTCACAATTCAAGGAACCTGCAGGGACTGAGATTGACCAAGGTATCAACAGTCATGTTTCCCCTCTCACACCCACTGTGAATTTACTGGACTAAATAATGGGTAATTCTATCACACTATTCTTATTAAACGATTTAAAAGTATATAACTCAATTTTCATAAATTTTATGTGCTTATAATGCAACTCAACACTTATACATAAGTATAAGATAAGCAAAATCCTTGAAATAATCTGCTCATTCAGCATCCATGGTGTAAACATAAGCACATCAGTGGATAAATCAGAATGTATCAGTGCACATAAAGCAAAGTTTATAACATTCTAGAAGAGTCCAACATACAGTAATCCTTGAGAGGTCTGAACTCATTGGGGATGGCGAAGGGAGTATATCACACACATGGGAGGCAGAAAATAAGAGGTATGTGAAGAGCTCAAGAAGTTGGATGAGTAAGGAGAAGAGTAGGCTGAAAAATTCTAATTCCATTTGCCAAGGCTGCAGTTCCTACAGGCACTCTGCATGGCACTGAGCACATTCTGTCTCATTTTCCCGTCACACCCATACAGACTGGAAGTTAAGTGAGGACAAGAAAAATCTATGAATTGCCACACATGCTACCTGAGCTGATACAGGAGAAGAGAGAAGAGGAAATCTGTAGCTAGATATGGCAGAGGAAACCATCCCCATGGAGACTAAAGTTCTGAGTACAAATGTGGTAGAGAAAGCAGTCAGGTCAGATATAAGAACTAAAGTCATATAACTGAGTAACATCTGAGTAATTAATATAGAGGAACCACACCCACCCTCCCCCATCCTGGGGTGGTTAGAGAGAAAAATGAAGAAAAGAATGAGAGAGGAGTGAAACCCAAAAATCCAAGTAACATAGGTATGATACCACATACTTTCTAGCACCTTTGCAAAGATTATATTAGGTAACATACTTGGAACAGTATCTGGCATCTGAAAAATGGTAGCTGTTATTGTATTCACTTTATAATTCCAGTTACAAAGTAGCAATTTATCCAATTTATTCTGAAGCCATCTATTCAAAAAACTTTATACAAGTCATCATTTTAAGAAGCAGCATCACAGAGCAGAGCACAGTGCACAGTGACAACAATTGAGTTTGTTACCTTCCTCAGTTAATACTTTAAGTGTGCAACACAGGAGAAAAGAACTAATGGCTGAGTTTTTGAAATATGAAAATTGTCAGAACCTTTAAAATTCTGAAAAGCCAAAACAACTCCTAGGCAGTGTATTTAAATTATAGAGAAAAGGATATTTGGTTTTTGGTTTTTTTTGGGGGGAAGGGGGCGTGGTACGGGGACGACTGTGAAAGGGGTGGTAAGAAAGGAGCCATGGATTGCTGGTGCTTTCTAAGGCAGACCAATCTATAATAATAAAAGCGTAATATGCTACTTAAGCTGGACGACCTTCTGGACGAAGCTGAGGCTGCAAGGGAAGCCCAGGTCCCGGGTGCCTGCTGGCGGCCGGAGGAAAGCCTGGGTCCTAGGTGCCAGAGGGAAGCTGGTGCCAGCAGCCAGGGGAAGGAAGGCCTACTCTTGCATGAATTTCGTGCATTGAGCCTCTAGTTTTCATATAAAAGGTTTGGAAACTTATGCTTTTAAAGTCATTCATACACAAAGCTTGAAGACACTATGTAAAATGAAATGAGTCAGTCACAAAAAAAGAACAAATCCCCTTATATGAGGTTCTTATATAGCAGTCAAATCCAGAGACAGAAAGTGGAAATGGTGGTTGCTAGGTGAGGGTAGAATGGAGAGTTAATGTTTAATGGGTACAGAATTTCACTTGGAGAAAATGTCGAGTTATGAAGATGGATGGTGGTGATGATTGTACAACAGTGTCAATGGATTTAATGCCACTTAAAAATGGTAAATTTTATGTTATGTATATTTTATCACACCCCCACCAACAAAAAAAATCCATGCCAAGTACCACCTGGAAAATCTTTTACATATATCCTCAGGAGTTTACAAACCTCATTTTAGATCATAGGACATATGGGATTTTAAGATGATAAAACCTGAAATTCCGTCCAAAGCTCCATAATTCTTAGGTGATTCTTACCTGCTTTAATGTCACTCAGGGCAAAAAGGCCAACACGGGTGTCTCCATTCACAGACCACTTCTGTGTTTCACAGTTGGGCTGGCAGCAGTGATTCATGAACCGAGCATAGTTTCCTTTGGGACCAGCATCAATGATCCGATCCTAGAATTCCAACGGATACTGCTCATTACTTTCTGAGAATTTTAACATACTAGAGGTTCCTATGCATAGTTTGAATCTCCCAGAAGAGTGATTCTTTTTTAAAATACATATATTTTTATTGATTTCAGAGAGGGAGAGGGAGGAGAGATAGAAACATCAATGATGACTCACTGATCGACTGCCTCCAGCATGCCCCCTACTGGGGATGGAGCCTGCAACCCAGGCATGTGCCCTGACTGGGAATCAAACCCTGATCTCCTGGTTCACAGGTTGACGCTCACCCAGAGTCATTCCAGCCTTCAGAAGAGTGATTCTTAAAGTGTACTTGTTGGATCAGCATAACTATCTGGGAATTTGTAGAAACTATGAGGTGAGGCCCAGCAATCTGTGCTATAATAAGCCTGTTAGGTGATTCTGATAATATGCTGAAGTTGAGGACCTAAAAGAAGAAGCTTGCCCCATCCACTAAATTAGGTAGTCCATCAGAAATCACCTAACGAGACTCTAATACTGATATTGAGACCCATTTCAAACAAAGATGAGAACACCTGGAGGTGAGGATCTTACAAACCATAAGGATACAACTTGATAAAAATGAAATGTTCACGAAGTTTCACACCAGGAAAGAATCCTATGTGGAAGACAGGGGTTGGGGGGGAAGGGGACTAGTAGAACCTAATATTCAGGTACAAAGAGGAAGCTCAAATACACATAAAATAAATACATTATAATGCTAGCATTAGGAACAGTTCCAAATATAATTCTAGGCACCGATGAAATGAAACTCATCAGAAAATTCCTATAATTGAAAAGCTGACTTGTGTTCATAAGCTGAATTCCAATGTCAATTTATATGGCCTCAATGCTCTAATTAAATAGCAACAAATCAGTTTCTCAATCTGTAAAATAAAAGAATTATTATTTAACCTTTCTGGCTTCAAGTTTTAACTCTACAGGAAAAATACTAACAGATATAGTCCCTAACTTATACTGCATAGCTAAAATAATGGGTAAAAGCAGTATTGCGTTTGGCCACGGATGTATATAGCCAAAAATGAGTAAGCTTACCTACTTTAGAACCCTCATCAACCCTGACCATGGGGAAGACACTATTTTAGGTAGTATATGACATGCCTACAAACACTATGGCTAAGACAACACTAATTTCACAATCCATTACTTACTTTGTCAAGGGTGAGCATATAGAAATTAGTGATATCGTGTTCTTGGGCATAACGGATTTGAGCTCTGCATTCTTCTTCATCTATTAGCTCACCCACATACTCATTCACAAATTCACCCTAGAACAAGAAAGAGCTCTTGACTTAATGGCAAAAAACATAACTGTATTTACAAATACACTTTACTTTTATTTTATTTTTTTTATTGATCCTCACCTGAGGATATTTTCCATTGATTTTTTAGGGAGAGTGGAAGAGAGAGGGAAAGACAGAGGGGAGAAAGAGGGAGAGAGGGGGAGAGAGAGGGAGAGAGAGGGAGGGAGGGAGGGAGGGAGGGAGGGAGAAAGACCCTTTGGTGTGTGGACCAAAGCTCTAACTACTGAACGCACGGGCCAGGGTCAAGTACACCTTATTTTAAAAAAAATAATGAAAATAATATTCATTATTCTCCACAAATTCTCCAAAGCAATTCATGTGTATGTAACTAGTCACTTAACAAAGATTTATTCAAGAAACTAACAAATATGATGCTTCAACTATCTGATATTAAAAGAAATAGATACTTGATCCTCCTTTACCTGCCCAAATACTTTAGTTAAGTCAGTTTCCCTAATATAGGCAGGTTCCTTTTTCTTAGAACATGCCCTGCTGCCCTTCCCCATTTCACACCACTGTTCCCCTGACTTAATCACTACAGTCACACTGGCTCTCACTCATGCTGTCTTCTCTATACACAATGCTTTAACACTCAGCTGACCTAAACCAATAAGTACTTACTTTCCAAGTCTCAACTTAAAATATTTTCAAAGACAAGCAAGTTTCAGGACTTTTGCCACATGCCTCCAGAAACCTTTCTGCTTCCACCCTGGGTGATGATTTCTGCAATGTCTCTCCCCCTCTGGAATGTAGACTTTATGAAAGCCTGGAACATGTCTCCTTTGTTGATCACTGCATCCTCAGCACAATGTCTTAGCAAATGACTAAACAGGTCAACCGAGATTAATTTCCTTTCTTAGAGACAAATTCAGTCAAATTCTTTAGAAAGTGTAATCAGAGTAAGATTTATTTTATTAAAATGTCAAATAACATTTATTCTACACAAAAGCTATACAATTTATTGTCTATTTATTAGAAACTTGCTGGTCCTTCCAAGTTTGAAGATATTACTTCATTTTCATTAGAAAAGGTGCAATCATCTTTTCCTTTGTGTTCTATGAACCCAAACCTATTTTCCCTCAGTAAAAATACACTTAACTTTATTAGTAAGTGATCTACACCTCTAACTGATGTGCTCACTATCCTCTCTTAACTTACAGGTGATAAGATTTTCAGAAAGAGAAAAAGCAAATAAAGCCATAATATCTCTGAATTTCCCTTGTTTTTTCAACCTCACACACAATGAACATGATTAATACTAAGGACGTTACAGATAAAGAACACCTATTCTTAGGCCTCTAAACTCTAGAACAGGGGTGGGCAAACTTTTTGACTCAAGGGCCACAATGGGTTCTTAAACTGGACCGGAGGACCGGAACAAAAGCATGGATGGAGTGTTTGTGTGAACTAATATAAATTCAAAGTAAACATCATTACATAAAAGGGTACGATCTTTTTTTTCAATAGTTTTATGGGCCGGATCCGGCCCGCGGGCTGTAGTTTGCCCACAGCTGGGCTAGACCATCAGAGGGTCAACTGAAGGTCCTTTGTATGTTACTGACAAAATTCATTTCAAACGGGCCGGATCCGGCCCGCGGGCCGTAGTTTGCCCACGGCTGCTCTAGAAGGATATGTTTTGCACGAATAATAACAAGGTTTATCCCTACACTATGTTATTTTCCTCTATGATCAATTTTCTCATAGTCATCAAGAAGAATTAATCATATTAAGCAATTAATGAGAAAAAAAATGGGAAATTAAGAAGTTTTCTTCACCTTTTTAATATCGGTTTTTGTTCGAAGACCCCAGCCCCTCTGTAATGTGCGAAAAATCTCCACCTCTGGGTACTGGCGCTTAGTAAAGCACTGGTTTTGGCAGCGTCCGCCGGCAGGACATACTGTGGGGTGGCACTCATAAAGCAGCATGCGATTGATGCACTCAGAGTCTATCCCACAGGGGTTATCATCAGTAGCTTTACAGTTGCAACGGGGAATTTCAGACAAGTCTGCAGTGAAGATCTGTACCCGGCCAATAGGACGGTTCACCTGTCAAAGAAACACATACTATACATAGTACATCACACAAGACAATTCGGGACCTATAAAAGGGAGATTTCTTTTCCTTAAAGCTGCATGTCACATTTCATATGATTTTGAAGCATCAAGATTTAGCAGCATTATTCACAGCTAAAATGTGGAAGCAAACCAAATGTCCATTGACAGATGAATAGATAAGCAAAATGTGGTACAAATAATGGAATATTATTCAGCCTAAAAAGAAAGAAAATTCTGGAACATGCTGTAACATGGATGAACCTGGAAGATATTATGTTACATGAAGCAAGCCAGTCAGAAAAAGACAAATACTGTATGATTCCACTTAAATAATGTACTTTGAGAATCAAAATTAGAGACAAAAAGAAGTAGCTGCTAAGGGCCAAGAGGAGAGAATGAGAGTTATTGTTTAATGGGTAGAGTTTCATTTTTACAAGATAAAAAATGTTCTAGAGATGAATGCTGGCAATAAGTACAAATAATATGAATGCATTTGTTGAACTCTTAAATATGGTTAAGATAGTAAATTTTGTTACCTGTATTTTACCACAATAAAAAATTTGGAGGAAATAAAGATTTAGGCAGTTTGATGGAAAATAGCCTTATGTAACATACAAAATATAAACTCCACAAAATTTTTAAGTCATTTAAAAAAAAATGTTTTTAGCCCTAGCTGGTTTGGTTCAGTGGATAGAGCGTCCGCCTATGGACTGAAGGGTTCCAGTTTTAATCCCAGTCAAAGGCACATGCCTGGGTTAGGCTCAGTCCCCAGTAGGGGGCGTGCAGGAATTTAGAGAGAGAGGAAGGGAGAGGGAGAGAGAGATAGAAACATTGATAAAAGAAACATCATTGATTGGCTGCCTCCTGCACGCCCCCCAAAGGAGATCGAGCTCGCAACCCAGGCATGTGCCCTGATCAGGAATCTAACTGGTGGCCTCTTGATTCCTTGGTCAACTGATGCTCAACCGCTAAGCTACACCAGCCGGGCTGTCGTTTTAATAGAATCATAATTTCAAAGCTGACAGGCCAAGTAAATTGTAACTAGTTTTTGCTATTGCCACGTGGTGGTGCCACTTTAGCTGCTATATAATAAACTGCTACTCTTAAGTGGCATGAAAGTATCTGGGTAATATTGAGGTTCCTATATGTGAATGTTCCTATATGTAAATTGCAATTCCTATATGTGAATATTTTACTATCATAATTTGAAATCTCTTTAATAGACAATAATGTCACCCATGCATTTTATTCAGTAGTGGTGCTAGTAATGAAAAATCCAGTGAAAATCCAGTGTGATAAAACATAAGGGTCAAATAGTTGCTGTGACACTGAAGCCACTAGTTTTTACAAATACTAGCAACAATGTTTAGAAAAAAATAGTCATTTCATAATAAGGATGGATTTGTACACTATGAGTCTCCCCTAGTTAGTATTACTTAACTGGGGAACAGTCAAATTTGAGAAACCCATTCCATACATAAAACTTGACTATTTAGGAATTGAATGATTTTGATAAATTATTTTACTTGCAAGACATACTTTGCCAGACTTGTGAGAATAAATACATGCAACCTGGCTGGAAGGTTCAGTTGGCTAGAGTGTCATTCTGATACACTAAGGTTGCAGGTTTGATCCCCAGGCAGGGCATATACAAGCATCAACCAATAAAAGTATGAATGGGTGGAACAACAAATTGATGTTTCTCTCTCTCTTCCTCCCTTCTTCTCCCTTTAAAATCAATAAATAAAAAGAAAAAATATATATGTATAGGTTCGAGTACAGAGCCTAGCAGCCTTTACACATGGTAGGTATTAGATTACCAATTCTAATCAATCTGAAATTACTATAATTATCAATTATTTCCATCCTCTAAATTCTCAAATGGTTTCATTTCTAACACTATATTGTGAGCCTTCTATTCTTTAACAATATTATAAAGTCTACAATCTGTACAAATATATTGTCCTCAATCCAGTTCTCTGTAACAATTTAAAAGGACAAACATCTCACTGCCAGATTCTTCAAAATACTGGTAAAAACTGTAAACCTCATTAAAACTCTTAACATATGCAAACGGGAACCACAAACCTAGTAAATCAAGCTCTATATAGGAATAGAAGAGAAGGGCTGAGCTTAATCACCTGAGACTCCAGGTCCTACATAGGGCCTTTGAACATTCACCTGAATCAAGGAATCTTTACCTGAGACAACTCCCTCAAAAAAAATTTCACCCTGCCCTAGCTGGTTTATCTCAGTGGTTAGAGCGTCAGCCTGCCGCCTGAAGGGTCCCAGGTTCCATTCCGGTCAAGGGCACATGCCAGGGTTGCGGGCTCAATACCCAGTAGGGGGTGTGCAGGAGTCAGCCAATCAATGATTCTTTCTCATCACTAACGTTTCCATCTCTCTTTCCCCCTCCTTTCCTCTCTGAAATCAATAAAAATATATTTTAAAAAAAGTTTCACCCTACTCTACAGTGCTTGCCAACCAGTGGTCCGTGAGGTCCGAAAGGTTGGAGACCACTAGTTTAGATAATTTTTCTTTTTAGAAATATATTTTATTGATTTCAGAGAGGAAGGGAGAGGGAGAGATAGAAATATCAATGATGAGAGAACCATTGATTGGCTACCTCCTGCATGACCCCTACTGGGGATCGAGCCCGAAATCCAGGCACGTGTCTTGATAGGGAATCAAACTGTGACCTCCTGGTTCATCAGTGGACACTCAACCACTGAACCACACCAGCAGGCCAATAATACTTTCTTGCCATCTGGTCTAACCTCTAACCTATGACCAATGCCAAGTAAGTTTTTTTTCTTTTTTAAAAAATATATTTTATTGATTTTTTACAGAGAGGAAGGGAGAGGGATAGAGAGTTAGAAACATCAATGAGAGAGAAACATCGATCAGCTGCCTCCTGCACACTCCCCACTGGGGATGTGCCTGCAACCAAGGTACATGCCCCTGACCAGAATCGAACGTGGGACCCTTGAGTCCGCCGACTCTCTGAGCCAAACTGGTTAGGGCCCAAGTAAGTTTCTTAACATAAAGCAAAAAACAAAACAAAATAACAAATAACAACCAAAATCAAACAAAACACACATACATGATTTTAAAGTAAGAACAAAGATATGTAATTGAAGGTAAACATTCATCCTAGAAGAGGTGTCAACACACCTTTTTGTAAAGGACCAGACAGTAAATATTTTAGCATTTGCAGGCCCTAGACCTCTAGTGAATGTAGCTCAACTCTGCCACATAGCACAAAAACAGTAATAGACAATATGTAAATGAACATGCATGACTGTGTGCCAATAAAACTTTATTTATGGATACTAATATTTGAATTTCATATAATCTTCATGTGTCAGGAAATATTTTACTTTTTTTCCAACCATACTAGGCCAGATTTGCTCCATGGACAGTTTGCCAACCCCCATTTTAAATCCTTTTCCTGGAAATACATTTGTTTAAAAAAAAATTAATGCATCGACCTCTAAATTCTGCGATTAGATCACTCATAGGGAGCTGCTCCCTCAACAGCCAGGCTCCATATGGTTGATGTGCTACTCTGAAATGCCTACCTTGCTGTTATTTACATCTATGACTGTGAGAACTTGATTACGTTCCCTTTTTTTGAGGCCTAACTACATCAGTGTTATGTCTTCATGCACAGTAACTCCATTTAACTCTCAATATACCACCAGGGTCCAATCCACTTGGACCCAATTTTAGGTTTTGAGGGTTGTTTTCCCCAGCAGATCTTTTTGTAAAGGTTGATATTTTATGACTTTTATTCTTTCTTAGAGGTTTACCAAAGATCAAAAAGAAAATTTACTTATTAAAAAGGAATAGCCCAGCTGGTGTGGCTCAGTGGTTGAGCATCAACCCATGTATCAAGAAGTCACCTGTTCAATTCCCAGTCAGGGCACATGCCTGGGTTGCAGGCTTGATCTCCAATCTCTGGTGAGAAGTGTGCAGGAGGCAGGCAGCCAACTGATGTTCTCTCTATTCAATGTTTCTATCTATCTCTCTAAAAAATATTTTTAAATAAAAAGGAATAAAACTCATTCTATTTTGCAACTACTATCACTTTCCAGAGAGTATAAAAGACTAGATATAACATCTTTCTAGTCTGTTTATAGTTGCTAGATTTAGCAAATAAAAACCCAGGTCATCTAATTATATCTGAATTTCAGATAATCAACAAATAGTTCTTTAGTTTAAGTAGTTCCCAAAGAATATTTGAGCCCTACTTCAATACACTAGACTCTAAAGATGGTGGTGAAATTGATTTTTAAGTGAAATCTCAGACTATAAGACTTTAGAAACTCAAAACCAATGAGTACAAAAACAATGCATTTAATGACAAAAAAAGAAATATGGTATCCAGACATGACATCATCATAAATATTTTACAAGAACCTGGGCAATCTTGTTTTGTTAATAGTATTTCTCTCATGTTTTCTGATATTTGAGCACCAAAACTAACTTGATTAAAAGGCTTTTAAAAAGGTTTTAACATACTTACTAAAATGTCTAATAAATTTATTATTTACTATTCCTGTATCTTTACTCCTGTAAAATATTCATGAAAATGACTTTAAATTATAAAAAATACAAAGGGTTCACTGGACCCAGATAATAAATGGTGATGATGCTTTTGCCAGGTACACTGAGGGTTAGATATTCCTAACACAAGTTCTCCTGACTTTGGGCATCCTAGTCATCCTGGTCACCTAAATCTTTAATATTACCAAAAAGACTTACCCATGTGTATTATCCACACTATCTCAGGACCATTTATGATTTATTTTTTAATATATTTTATTGATTTTTTACAGAGAGGAAGGGAGAGAGATAGTCAGAAACATCGATGAGAGAGAAACATCGACCAGCTGCCTCCCGCACACCCCCCACTGGGGATGCGCCCGCAACCCAGATACATGCCCCCGACCGGAATCGAACCCGAGACCCTTCAGTCCGCAGGCCGACGCTCTATCCACTGAGCCAAACCGGTTTCGGCATCAGGACCATTTATGATTTTTTATCACAGCTCTTTGATCCCTTTCAAACTGCAAGATGTTAACTGTGAACAGAATCTAATCCAATCTACTATATGAGAAGACTTTCCAAGGAAACAGAGATTGTATCAACATACAACTGGATTTATAAAGTTCACACAATTGCTAGGAATGTGCTTTGGTACGTTTTTGTTATCTTCTTTCAAGCTCTTATCTGTACCTAAAAGCTACTATATAGGCTTGTGCTTCCAATTCTTGTCATGAATAGAGTAGGAAGAGGGCAATCTATAAGGGTCTCTCTCTCTCAGATGGGGTCTCCTGAAGTCTTTTCTCACCTTTATATGTTTATAAGGCGGTGGTTTCTTATCGTTCTTTCGGTCTTCCTGCAGCTGTCTTAGTTCTTTTTGGGCCTTTAACTCCTCAAACCTTGCTGCAGCTTCCTGAAGAGCTAAGAAAACACAAAAGTACAAGTCACTAAGCCTGTGAATGGAGTTGTTTCACCTCCCCACGCCCCCCTTTTAAATAGGAGAAAAATTCATGTTTTAGACAAAAATCACCAACACTATAAGGAAAATTAAAGTATATATGACTTCTACTTTCAGTAAGTTATAATCCCCAGGGTATTCAGATACAGCATTAAGACAAAACATAATCCATCACTAAATGGTACAATACAAACTACCAGCTTCAGAGAAAATTTTAAAACAACAAAAAAAAGTCAAATGATTTGAAAAAGGCCATGTATATCATCTATAGACTGCATCTGCTTAGCACAGTCACAGCCTTTAGGCCTAATTCTTTCCTCAGTCCTAACCTCCTTTCCAGAAACATCCTGCTTCCTAGGTGTCCCAGGTAATATGCTGTGTTCCGGTGGGAGAAAAATCCAAAGTTGAAGTTCTTTTTTCTTCCTTGCCTGTTCTCTAGAGCACCTGTCCTACTCCTAAGACTCATTCTGTAAATATCAACTACACGTATTAGTTTAATAATACAAAGACAGTCCTTCATAGCTAGTTTGTATTCAAAGCTTGTACTTTCATATGCTTGAAAGACTGTAATACCTGAAAAGTTCAACAAAATCTTAGGATTCTCATTCTTCTCCACTTAAATCAAAATTTTAATTCATTATTGATTACACAAGTTAAAAATTCTGAAAAGAATTTCAATTCTTCCTCCTTTCCTCTCTCTGGCTTTCCCTATGCTGTCAATTCTTTAAAGAAAATCTTACCTCTGACCCATCCCTTTTTCTCCATTTCTCTATCACCATCCAGCAGAGTTTGTTTTGCCTGGAATTCTCTAAATTTTTCTAGTCTCTCTTAAAGTCCTTCCTTCCTTCAACCTATTATTGAGCATATTCTGCCTAGTCTATCTACTTAGTGCCTATCCAGTAATCATTATCCTCTCCACCCTATGGAAGCCTCCCTGTGACAAGTCTAGTCATC